GGGGGGGGGGGGGGGGGGGGGGGGGGGGGTTAGGGTTAGGGTTTAGGGTTTAGGGTTTAGGGTTTAGGGTTTAGGGGGGGGTGCCTGATGGTGGGTGGGTGTTGACGGGCGCAGTGTATAAGCTGGCCCTGTGGGTCCATGCGCCCATCTAGTATATACTGTGTTCTTATAGTAGTCGCTATAGATGTGTTTGAGGGCCACAGTATGTACTATTTGGGTACATGGACCTTGAGACCTAAAGCCTAAGCCTAAGGCCTAAACCCTAAGCCCTTATAGCAACCTTAGGTTATGTAGAACCCCTTTTTCAAGTACCCTTGAGCACATGACCCTTACGATAACGGTGGCGGTGGCGATAAAGCATCCAGATCCGAGTGTTTAGGGTTTAGGGCTTAGGGTTTAGTAAGGGTTCAGGGTTTAGGGTTCAGGGTTTAGGCTTTAGGGTTTTGGACTTAGGGTTGAGGGTTTAGGGCTAAGGGTTTAGGGTTCAGGGTTTAGGGTTTAGGGCTTAGGGTTTCGGACAGGATCCAAGCGTCCAGTGCAATGCGGGGGTCGGAGTCTTTACCGACACTGTTCCTTAACCATTATACTTATGGCCATGCTATTGAAGAGCCCAGAACCCTGTAGTTCCTGTTACTCCTCAGGATTCCTTATATAACTAATGTACTCATAACTGTACGATTAGGTTTGCCAAACAGGCTAACAACACACCTAATCAGCTTCATGAGGGGCCAAAATGTGTAACCCTAAGGATCGAAAAAACTTAATTTTGAAGGGTCTTGGGCCCAAAGGTTAGGGTTTAGGGTTAGCGCTTTTGGGTTATTTTGTGCCTTAGGCTGGTGGTTTTGGAGATTTTTGGAGGCCTTTTGGCCCCTCATGGCATCAGACGCTCAGGATACAACATGGGGCTGGTGGTCAATGCGGTTCTGATCAAGATGAACAACGTGTCCGATCGCGAGACGACCCTCGGCCGGAGCTTCAGGATGATACTTTACCCATGGGCCCCATAGCGGTTCCTTTTGGGGGTTACCTTATAGGATTCTATATATGAACCCCCGAAAGGACTACTTTAGGGCCTATGGGTAGAATACTTTAGAACGGTTCAGGGATTAGGGTTTAGGGATTGTTGATTTCGGGTTTAGGGTTTGGGGTTTAGGGTTTAGTGTTCGGGGCATAGTTTACAGTAGGGGATCGGGCTTGCTGCAGTATTTCCAGGTTGGGGCGGTTTCGGGAGCACCGGCTTCAGGGCAGAAGTGGATAGTACAGTGCTACCTAAAGGGTCCTTTCCTACCCCTTTTTTGAAGGTACCTAGTTTTATGGTTAGGATCTGTTATATAAAAAGGTAGGTNNAAAAAAAAAAAAAAAAAAAAATGGTAGGGTAGGACCCTTTTTGCTACTCCTTGAGTCGAAGGACTCGTCTCTTCCGCTCTCACTTGGGCGCAGCTTCTGCAGCTAAGAGGCCCTCAGCGAAAAGTTCGAGTTCGCAGAACTAGAGTCAGGAACCCAGGGTTTAGGGTTTAGGGTTTAGGGTTTAGGGTTTAGGGTTTAGTCAGGAACCCAAACAGGCACCCAATATTCCTACCTGCTTGGCTTATTTAAAGAGAGGATCATGTGATATCCCAGCCTTTTGGTTT